TCACCAGGATTCTCTCGCAGGATTTCAAGCTGGACGGTTGTGCCCTCACGATATCCGACTTCAGCGTAGCTCCCGCCGACTGGTTCGCCCTCCGCGGTCTCCTGAAGCCGTGCAGCTCTCGCATTGTGGCGCCCCGCCCTTGGACTGCTTCAACCGGATCCCCACTTTCCTATCTCCTTCTTTTTTCTCTCGCTTGGCTGTCTTCTTGTCCGTCTATTTTCTTTCTATTCTTTTTATCCCTCTTTCCCCCACCCCTATAAGGCACTGCGCCGTGTCGCCTGAAGGCAGACAGAAATTAGGTGCCTTTTTCCTCTTCATTCTAACCACTACCACCACCACCACCACCAGGATACGCGAACCTCCACGTATTGCAATACAGGCCAGAAAAACTGGAAACTCGATGCTCCTTTCTAGTTACACAACCTTGGCGTCGCTCTAGCCAAAATGAGGTGAGGTACGGCTCCCGGACAACACAAGATCAATTGTCGAAATCTGAACAAATATACCAGATGGAGTGCACCGGTCGCTTTTCGAATATACTAATGCAATTTGGTTCAGAAAAACACCCCTCCAACTAGACTGCTGAACGTCTCAAGTAATCTATATTCACAAGCTAGGGAAACCAATCAACACTGAGAATGTCAGAAGACGTTCTCTTGATTCTTGTGTAGGGAAGCTAATGGAAACTGTGGTCAGAGATCGTCTCTCTCCCTTCTTGGAAGAGCGCCACATTTTCGCTGAATTCATGTATGGCTTCAGGCCTAATAAATATTCACAGGACATACTTCTACAACTACACCACGAAGTGCTTAGTCTTGTAGAACACCCCCACAACGGCAAGATCGTTCTAGCACTTGACCTTAAGCACGAAGTCATCCTAGCCCACCTAAGTGCCACCAAATGAGGCGAGCGCACTTTGAACTACATCCAAAGCTTTCTTATTGACTGATCTGCGTACATTCGCACCGAAGATCAGGAGTACGTCCCCAATCCGGTGGGTACGTGAGGCACACCACAAGGCACTGTGCTGTGGCTTCTGCTTTCCTACTTGGCTGTGCACTGTAAACACTAAGAGAGTGCTGGGCACTCTCTTTGGGAGAGCACTTTCTTGTCCCATATTTCCCTCTCTTTTCCAGAGTAAATCACATCTTGTTGAGGCAGAGTTCAGCAATTCCCACGTAACGCGCCAAAGCCCTCCCCCTCAACATAGTAACATAACGCTGCCCGAAGCAGAGTAGCATGACCCCACCCAAGAGAGTAACAGTACACCTCACGAAAAAAAAATAGCGAAACTTGGGCTGAAACTGCGAATTTTAATTGTTCTTGACGGATTTCCTCATGTGCGATCGTAAAAATGGCTAAATACAAACACAACAACAAAGAAATGTGTTAAAATATATTTGTGTGGGACTTGAACCTTTGACCTCTAGACACACTGCAAATTTCGAGTCCGCCAGACTAACCACTACACCACAATAAAAACGAGCACGTGTATTTATTTTTTATGTCATAAGTATATTGTTCAAAATATGTCTGCATTTTTTTGTTTAGACGCGAATATTTGAGTGTCTCCATGCTTCTGAAAACCTGCCGGACTGTAGCTAACGTCTTTACTGCGTTTATTTTGTTATTCGTGATGTCCAAACGTCTCCGAAGACATTTTTTTTATTACCGTAGAAAAAGAAAGATTTGCCCAACCTACCATATGAACGTCATTTACCCTGACTAAGTGGTTAGTCACTTCTGCCTACGAAACGTCGCGCATCTGAAGTGTACATTAAACAATTTAGTTGTTATTTTACTCTCTTAAATATATTATGGGTCATTCTTATTCACGTTCTACTACTAAAGCCCCAATACTTAACTGTAGCCGTACCGTACTTTAGGCTTACAGCACCATCGCCCGTGTGCGATGGTCGTAAGAAAAAACATGATTATTCATATAAGAAAAAAGTCATAGCTATTCGCGTTGAGTTTCGATCATGACCGATTGAATGAGATAGTACTCGCTTATTTCACTACAGAGGTCCAAGACTAAAATTGGATACTAAGAGATTCAAGTGCCTCTAAGTGCGCTGAAATCTACTGGCGTGCGCTAAAAAAAGCTGTTCTTCTTGTTAATCATCTCGATCGTCTCAAAAGTTAAATACAGTACGTTTTACTGAATGTATGTGTGATTATTAGGCAGTGTTAATCACTCGTCGTGTGCCCACACAACTAAAAGTAATCAAGAACAACAGAATAACCGCGTTGTACTCTCTCACGCCTAAAAAGTATATATGGGCATTTCACTCTCTCAAGAAGAAAAAGAAGAGAAAAAAAATCACTCTCTCGTTTTATGGAGAGTGAAAATAACTTTCACTCTACCTCTAGTTTTGGGAAAGTGGAAGAACACTCTGAAGAGTAACATGGCCTTTTTATGCCTGCGATATCCTCCGCAGAATTTAGAATGTGGGGCAGCTCCCAGCCCGCTAGGCTGCTGTCAATGAGGCAAAGCATGCGCATAATACCAATGACATTACCCTGCGGGCCACAGAGGGATACCTCGGCAGCATAGAGGACAACCTGCAAACTGCTGCCCATATAGTAGACGAATGTGCGGCATACGGCGGCCTGTAGTGTTCCCCACAGAAATCTAAATTTGTGCACCTTTGGCCGTCGGCAAACAAGACCTCGTCCATCAACATTTCTCTGCACAGTGCACCTATTAACTAGGTGCATTAGATCCGTGTCCTTGGATTCCACATTAACAAACACCGCACGGTCGATACAGCACTTCTTAAGGTGCGTAAGGTTGAAGAGCAGGTAGGCCACATTGGTGCGCCGAGTCTCCAACAAGCGGGGAGGTCTCAAAAGCAACGATGCGCTTCGTCCCGCACATCTTTTGTCACTAATGGCATCTCGTATGCGACTTTGTACCTGCACCTATAGAAGCATGATGAAGATTCTTTGGAAGTCACCCTCCAAGAAATCGGCAAGAGAGCCCTACATCTTCCGATAACTACTTCCAATGCGAAACTCCTTGCCTTGGGAGTGGTAAACACCTACCAAGATCTCCGGGAGGCTCACCTAACAAATCGCCTGGCGGAGACTCCGTTCGGCAGATGACTCCTAAAGTGTATGATGGGGGGCCAGTTGGTAAGACATTTAGGAAACTTATAACTGCACTAAAATGAGACATGAGAACGAAGTGGGCAGGACGATTGCAGATGGGGCTAGTTGGTAATCCATTTAGGAAAACTATAACTGCACTAAAAACGAGACACAAAAACGAAGTCTGCGATCGCCCTGTTTACTTCGTTCTCGTGTCTTCTTTTTAGCACAGTTATAATTTTCCTAGACGACTCCTAGATCGCCTACAGATCAGGCATAAATTCTACATAGAGGAGCGGGTAGGAGTGCCCGAAAATTGGAAATACACGATTTATTTCTGACCTGTCCCCCACCAATATGTCCCGTGAGTCACACGTTGCCCGTCGAGAAGCATGGTCTCTCGCTCTCCGGTGCCAATGCGGCTCTTAGCAAAACGTGGTTTACACACACGTCGCCGGCGCTGGCAGCGGGGGCTTGTATACTGCCGCCGTAGTCCACCAACACAGGCAGGTCGGTGGTATGTCCTGTCGTGCGCTTCAATTCGACCCATGCTCAAGAGTTGACCATGGTTCTATAGCTATATCACATGTCAGCTCTAAAATGATAGTTTCAGATTCCGAAGGAGCTTGCCGAAATTTTAAACTGGGATGGATCTCACACCTAGCTGTCAAAATTCTAAAATCTTGTCCGCGGGTAAGTCACCCCTCTCCCCGCTCCCTAATATGGACTCCTGGCAATCAGGGCCTCAGAGGCAATCAGGCAGTGTACTCTGCCACCCGCGCACTCATTCCGTGGGTTACTGGCTTGCCCACCGATAACCCCTGTGATCCAGGGAAAAACATTTATTTCCTAACTTATAGAGAGATAATTACCCATTACCGGGACTCCGATCGCCGCTTTCGTCACCCTACAAAGGACTTAGCGACGCAGACAAGAGAATTATTCTCTGTGTATTTTCTGATTTGCTACTGTGCCCGGAAGTGCTTGAACACTTTGACTCTTACTTTTCCAGCCTGTGTGGTTGCTGAAATCTACCACATGGTATGGGCATGCCAGCTCAACCCTCCTTTACCCCCACCCCAAATTCAATAAGATAAATGGGAGGCAGCCTTGCTTGGATGCCAGGATCTTCCGGCCGAACAAGCAGTGGCCCACCGTGCCAGGACAATTATCACTACAAATGGGGTCTCTGACTGGAGACTCCACCTAGTACTGTAGGGAAGCTGATCTACTTGGGGCTGGTCTTTCCGACAACTTCTCTTTTCAATAAATGTTTACCACCACCTTCCCAAGCCGCTGCCGAACTGCGATATCGTGCGACAAAAATTCTTCGCATTTTGAAAAGAAGACAGAGTGTTCGAGTTTCGCTGCCATCTTGCTTCATAACCACCACTTATAACTTTAACCAACCCTTCACTAGGTTGAGAGGCTTATGTGCCTGGTTAATAAGCCTCTCAACCACTATGTTGAGAGGCTTATGTGCCTTCGAGAAGGCACATAAGCTTTCTAGAAGCTTATGTGCCTGATCACAACAGTAACAAGAACAAGAAGTTGCTGGCACCATGCCTATTTTGTAAAAAAAAGCAGTGCTTTATTGAAGCTGACCAAAAAAAAAACCAACGAGTGACAAATCCAATACACAACAATAAACGGTTACCATGGCAGACTGTTCGCTGACGCGCACGTCCTGTATGTGCACATTCTTAAACTGATACAAGAGATAACCTGGCCTTGGTAGGAAAATTGAGAGCTCGGCTAGTTGTCGGTAGCTGTCGGCTACTTTGTTACCTCTGTGATAGCCTTGCTTTTCAGACAAAAATACAATTTGTTTTTCACTGGCGAAGGTACACCATCAACTGCTCAATGTCTATATCTCGCCGGAAATGAGGAATTCGAGGAGCACTTACCGGGCCCATTTATTTGCAGACCATGAGCACGTAGCTGAAAAAAAAAATGTAGAGAAATGCATCACAGTAAATCTCATGCAAGCCGTGTGGCCTATTATTCGAAAAAAAAACGCAAGGCCTGCGAAGAAGGTGCAGCACAGGCACAGCGAAAGCTAGAAGAGTGGCCTTTTAGAGCCTATTCAATGAGGAATCATGGCCAAGGAATCATGGCTGAGGAATCATGGCTGAATGAGGAATCATGGCTGAAGTGGGTGTGCGCCACAGTGAATCGGAGAACGAGAACAAACTTTTTTATTGGGTTAGAGGATTCGATGGCCCACTCGTTACGCTATTCGCATGGTGCGACGCCTGGTTGTTCGTTCACTGTTTTAAAACGCTTTATAAATTGTATTACCGCGATTGCTTTTCCGACATCAAGCCTGCCTAAGGCAAGTTCACCAACAAGTCACAAGCACCAGCGTAGATCAGTGGTAGAATACTGCAGGGTCTGGCCCCCAGTGGACCCGGGTTTTAGCCCCACTGTCTCTTAGGTGCTAGGTTTGCCAACAAGTCACAAGCAGTGGTGTAGCTCAGTGATAGAATACTGGGCTTGCACCCAGCACACCCAGTTTCGAGCCCCACTGTGTCTTTGATGCTAGGGTTTTTTTTTCCTAATTTCGTCCGATGTGGTTCCGCACACCGGAGGCGGCGGCGGACAACTGAGAGTGACCAGAGTGGTGATCTCATTATAGCTTTCGCTGTAAATTAATGATGAAAGGCGTCACCCTAGACTCAGGGATCGTTGCAGTGGTATTTGATTACTGACTCCTTTATTCACAACTTACTGCACTATGCGGAACCGGTACGCCATTGCAGCGCCATCTCTACTAACCTGGCCGATGTGGACATGACCTAATACACACACAAAAACGTCATGGGGGTCCCTATAAGAAGCTTTCTCGAAATGTATTTGTAGCATGACTACTCTAGCATTCAACATTCGTCACAACATTCTAATATAGAACGGGCGACACCAGTGTTTTGTCGTATTCGAACGTCCTTTAAACCAAATGTCTGATGAGGTCCTACTATCTCCGTGAACACAGTTTGTAGTTTTATCTTGTGGAAAATACTATGTTAGGCAGAGAGGTCATTGTTTGAACAATAAATTATTGAATTAGAGGGCTTCATTGAGCGGAACACCTTGTTGTAGTCTTTCTTTACATTGCCGAGTGCGGATGCACACCCTTGTTATCAGAAACTAAGGTGCTTGCAAGATTAAAAGGAAAGGTTACACGAGCAATTGAGGAAGCACATTTGATTGAGAGATCGGGCAAGACATGCGTAGCGAGGCCCCTTATCATGCTGCATGCCACTGAGTTAGATTATTTGAGCTCCTGACACTAATACAATTCATAATTATATTTTTGCTAATGTGAATCGTGACATTGACTTTTGTTTACGTGCGTTCATTTGTGTGCGACTTTCGAATAAATTCAGTTGATAGTTTGCGCTTGTCCATTTCTCATCCCTACTTTGCGCTAAAAACTACTGTAAGAAGTGGGAATAGCCCGCCAGCTTACGTCACCGCGCTGACATAGCGCAGGAAGCAGGCGAATACGAAACCGCGGAGAGTGGCCTAGGGAGAAAAAAAAAAGAGCAAAAGAAGAAAAAATGCGTCTATGTGCGTGCAAGTATCCTTTTGTTTGTACGCTCCTCTCAAAGAGCCGCTCATTTCAGGAGTCCTCTAAAACTAAAGTACCCACAAAACAAAGCCCACATGCAAACAATTTTTCTTTTTTTTGTGATTCGCTGTTTCTTGTCCTTTTCCATCCCAAGCTTACGACCAAGAGTTTCGGCAAATCCTCTTCCGGCAAATTAAATACTTATTTTATTATTTCATTGCTTTTTAAGGATTCCACCAGCAGAGCAGCAATCATCGCAACACGATTCATCCTTGCTAATAGGCTACATCTCTTTCTTGTATCTTAAAGTCGGTCTATCTGCGCCTCCTGTTATACTCAGTGATGTGTAATAAAGAAACTGAAGAGTGTGTGGATTGGTTATTGCACACCTGACGTGCCACAGCACACCTGACCTGACATGGTGCAGGATCAACGTAGAGGCAATGCTTTGCCGACAGTGCGGAAGAAAGAACAGTGGATCTTCTTCATGAGGGTTGTCGGCGCATGCGCAGTGGCGGTGACTAAACGCAGGCCGCCAATTTTGAAGGTCACAGCGTGGTGACAGGAGCGAACAATGTGGCACATGGCAATGCAGCATCGAGAATTGTCTTGAAAAGTAGCAGGGCACCGATATTTTTGACTGGCGCGGCTTAATACTTTGCAAGCCACGTACTCTCAACTTACACTTTGGTTTTCTCTAGTGGAGGCGCAGTTCTGACTTGAAAATGTGCTTTCCTCTGCTGTGTTCAAACTTTGGCGCGTTTGTGCCGTCATAAGCATTACACTTTTTGTTTTGCTGTCATACACACTGGTTGCGCACATCTTTGTTTGAAGTTTGTTTTTATGTCAAAATGTATTGCACCCTTTTTACGATGTTGGAGGCCCTATACGTTGTTTTGCCTTCGTATTTAGGGCGTCTAAAATGCACTTTTGAAATGCCTAAACAGTACAATATGAGATGCACGAATATTACCTCAATCGCCACGGGAAAACGAAGTACAAAGATCACAATAAAAGCAGCACAAATCTCACCGAAGATGACGATCCCAGGAGAAGGCTTACGCCTATGGCGAGAAAAATCATGGCGGCCAAGATACCCGATCCTCGTTATCTGCACAGTATGCATAGCGAGTGTTAGCATGGCAAACTGTGGGTGCTGATTTAACTTTTTCTGAGGCGGCCGACGCATAGACGGCGGCACGTGGGTGTATCAGTGGCAGCGTGCCTTGTTCGTTAGAACATACCAGGTTTGGAACAGCAGATATCAGCAGACTTTAACTGTTCCCACTGCCCTGCAGTAATTACATTTTCTGTCCAAAAATCAAAGAGTTACTTCATACAATTTAACTTTTTTAACTAAACATTCGATCGCCTGAGAACGCAGCTAGAATAGCCTTTGGCTGTTCCGTGGCTTTCTGTTACCATTTAGTGAACGAGTTAATAAGTAAATCAATCAGTCAATCAATGCAAGCTGTAAGGTCTAGAACCTAGCTTTTACGCTGGCGTGATTTGCAGAGCACAAGCCCGCCTGTGTGATTATCGGAACCTACAGAAGTAGAGAGAAGATAAAATCACAACTATAATATCTTAATTTCTCCGCAAAGAACAGTAGGTACTGCTTAGAAAATATCAATTTGCAAACAAAAGACAGATAATCTTGAACAATACTGCAGTGGAACATGCTCGATATGATATTGGGGAGGAACGTTCAATGCAAGTGCAAGTGCTGCCCAGACACGGCATATGTGCAGAATAAAATGCGCATGACTATCATCTTCGTGAAATATTCCTTTGTGCGCAAGCCAGAATACCTACTGTAGAAGCGAATCACAGTGTGCAGACAATGCAGAACTGCAAGAACATGACCCGTTGCGACAGGTCTCAATCCTAATTTAGAGACGTGACTTGCTCTTATCCTATCTGCGCACTGATTGCAAAAAAGAGTCTGCAAACACTCATCTAATGACAAATTATGCGTAATTTTGGGCCACAGTCTCCAAGTATCATTTTGATTTAAATATTTTGGCCAATGATGTACAAAGTATAACGATACGTTGGATGTGGTATGTTCCGGCATGAGTTTTAAACTGCTTTATTCACCTTTTGCAGAATGCTCCTTTCCAGCACTGTCACATGTAATTTGACTAGATTATCTTAATTGGTTCACAAAAAACAGAGCATAACTGGCCGTAAAATAATGAGTTAAATATATGCGTTATGATAGCAATAACTTATTATAACCATTTAGCTTTTTATGTCACAAGCGCTATAGTAACTGCACATTGCGCCAGCTTCGGCAAGAAAGGTAATGGCAAATCTAAATGCAAATGAAGTACCCCTTGCTTTTTTACATAGGCTTTCTATTCAATAATTTTATGAATATCAAACTGAATTGCGAAATAAATAGGCTAGCGTGGCTTCCTTTTCTACCTTTGCTTTTGCCTGCGGCAAAGATATTGCTTTCTCCAGCCTGAAAATATTTCTAAACACTTATCCTAGCCACACTTCTGAGGTCTGTAAGACCTAGGTAGCCTCAGTTACGCGTGTTCTGGACACTCTCTTTAAGGAGGGTCCAAAACACGCGAATTTCTTGCTAAAGAACGCTCCTGGATTCCGCTAGGTGGCGCGACAGTCTACGAACATTGCGAATACGAGGCGTCCTGCTGAAACGAGTCATTTTTCGTATAAATGGACACCATAGGACACGGACGAACCTCGAAAAGAAAGTGCTCGTGGCAATAACTCACCGGCTAACCTAGAAAAGACAACCCGGTGCTTAGAAGCCAGCCTTGTAGGTCCCAGCACGGATGGGGAAGTAAATATAGGAGACAATATCTTTATGATTCAATTCAAGCATTCTTTATGAAATTTTATAACGAGGAATCAAGAAAAAATGTGCAGTGACTCATATAAAGAGGTCTATTGTGACATACGAGCAAGTGGCGTGCGGAATATAAGATTAAAAATGTACACCTGAGGATGCTGTTTTTAGAAAGTTTGTTCCCCCAACCGCTTCTTCATGGGATTTTTCAGACGTGGCCTTAACTAGCGAAGCATTTGACATAAACTTTCTCTCACACTTTAAAATCAGCATTGTTCCGATTGGAGACGTACAAGTGTCTAGCCCGGTGTCAATCACTGAAGTGAGAGGAAGCCTTCATTCACAATGATGCATCTACGCCTGAAATACGTGTTAAAGCATATGCCAGAATATAATTCCTTCTTTGAAATATACAAAAGAGGAAGGTTCAGGAGAATCTTCATGGTTGAAAAAATAAAAAAAAATTCAAAGGAGGAGCAGGAGGGGGGTGTCACTGGAGCCACTGTTTTGACAGATGTTCCTGTCTTGTCGAAATGACTTCTCCAAACGTCCGTTCCAGGAAGATTTATGAAATTGTTGAGGATTAACGTCAAGACAACACGATACGATAGTGAGAGATGCCGCTGTGGTGTGTTCCGGAAATTTTAACCACCTGTAGTCTCGTGACGTGCACAATCATCTAATCTCCCGAGAATTAAGCGCTTCCTTTCCATCAAAAGGCGGCCGCTGTAGCTTCAATTCCTTCCAGCGTCATCGCGCACTGCGAAAAATTCGAGCACTGCTACAACTATAGAACCATAGTATATAGGGGCATAAACTTAGGCACAGGGATAAGCAGCGGGGCAGTCGTCACCCACCCTAGTTAACTAAGAAGTAGGCATAAGAGGCCTAATCTAGCACTACTTGTTTACTTTGGTTTACTTTTCATTGAAACTCAAATGGACTATACATATCCAACACACAATATCAAAAGTGACTCTAATGTAGTTGTTCATCCTCAAAATTTTCAAATCAGCGTCAAAAGATGTGAAAGAAACAGTGTACTTTTTGCATAATAAATTCATTCTAGAATACGTCTCTATGATTTCGGACCCTTAACAGGGGTATCTGACGCAAGCAATAAAAGAACTTCAATTCAGGTGACACTATTCGCCTGCAGTACCTGCGATCATTTAGAAAATGTCTCTGAATTAAAAAATAATTGGTGGGCAGAAATGCTTTAGCAGCATGAAGAAAAACTCGGGGCTCAAATTTTCCAGCGTCATTTTTTTACATTCAAACAGGCATTAGTGTTCAACATGTCAGAAACATTCATTTTGGTTAGGCATAGCCACTCCTAGAAAGCACACGTGCATAGTTGCAACACAAATTATTTATTGAATCCCCCCCCCCCCCCCGTGAACTGTACTCTCTGTACGTGTAACCAAAAAAAGCTATGTTTCTGTATATGATAACTAGAATTTTTATTCCGAATCGTGTGTACAATAATGTGTATTTGTCTTAGTTTCTTTTTGTCTATTAGCTTTGAACACGCTAACAACCTATTGTTTACCAAGATGTTTCCCTGTTTCATTTATTTTCATTGTTTATCATTAAAAAAATGTAGAATGTTACACTAAATATGTCTCCCCTGCGATAACACCTTCGAGGCAACGCAGGTATCCTGTGAATGAATAAATAGATAAATAAAATATGGGTGCTGCGATGAATTTTTGCAATTTTTGAATGTCTTTGCACCAGTAAATTGGCCCTGTCAACGTGTAGAAAAAGCCTACTAATGTACAATTGCAACGTGCATACTGCGACATAAATCTTTCTTTTGTGAATCGACGAACAGCCGCAATGCGTAAGCTTAGCTGCGCAGGTTGTTGGCGCTGTTGCTGATAATAACGATCAGTCATACGTAAATCAACGACTCGTGTAATTCTCAAGAAGGCCCAATATTGTGCGAGGAGGCCGGGTAGTTAACCAGTTCACAACCGCTATGCTGTCGTACACCAGGGCAAAGAAGGAGTGGTTTGACGGCTAGGGGCATGAATGAAAATATAAACAGACAGAGAGCACACACTTCAAGCAGCACAAGCGCATGCAATACTTTATGTGGCCGCTCGCCAGCAGAACCATTTTAAAAGAAGAAAAACGAGTGACTCGTCCATTTCCCGGGTTGAAATCGTGCTTGTGAAGCCTAAAACAGCTGCGTGACGCGAAAGGTATAAAAATTTGAACAACAACGCATGCACACTAACTAGCGGAGCCAGACAAGCCGAAAAATGCTACGAAGTGAGACATGCAGCTTGTGACGTCATTGCAGCAGGTGACGCCTGATAGTCTTATCGTAAAGCTGAACCCACTGTTTCCGGTTGCCTCTAGAATAGGCCCATCATGTTAAAAAGTGGTTGTCGAGATATGGCAGTGTCATGTGATGTAATCACGATGTCAAGTGTTTGCGATCTCTGATGTCATAATGTGACGTCCTCACTCTGATAAGGTCACGTGGTTTTTTCGGCTAAACCCTCGTGAGCTTTTTCGAGTGTCTCGCCCAAGTTTTGCTACCGGGAGTTCCAACACAGGCACGTAAGCTTTTTGCGTGAAACATAAACAAAATGTAAAATAAAAAGAGGTGAAGGGTGTCATCGCATCAGCGTGACGTAATTCTTCAAAGAAACGATGGCCAAGTCATTAGAACATTCGCTTAGCATACAGAAGGCAGAGTGTTTGATTTCCGGTACAACCAGAGCAGCAACAGTTTTGGCTCACGGGCTGAGAGGCGCCCTTGCATGGTGATGCATGTTGCGAGAATATGGACTTTCTTTTCTGCTTTTCTCTTTAACGCTTCTTTCTGATCCGCCGAACGACAGGCAAACAGGCAAAGAACTTTATTAGTATCTGGAGGTGGTGCTCAACTCCCCTTAGGGGGCGACACCGAACGAAGCTGCACCGTGCTTCCTTGTGTGTTGACGTAACATGGGTATTTGTTCTCCCCTAACTCCTTTCACGAAATAGAGCTGTTTCTGGACTATAGTCATTGCGATGGACAAAAGTGACCCATTATATGCTTTAACGCCTCACATTTCTGTGAACGGCCAGTGAGATGACGCTTTTGATAATATTAGTGATAGAGATGTGACACCCCTTCTCAATTCATTTTGGCCTCATGGCAACAGAGCCACGGTGGTCTAGTGGCTATAAGGTACTGGGCTGCTGACCCGCAGGTCGCGGGATCGAATGCAGGCTGCGGCGGCTGAATTTTCGGTGGAAGCGAAAATGCTGTAGGCTCGTGCGCTCAGATTTGGCCACACGTCAAAAAACCCTAGGGTGGTTGAAATTTCCGGAGCCCTCCTCCACAGCGTCTCTCATAATCATATGGTGGTTTTGAAACTTTAAGCGCCATATATCAATCGTGGCTCCGGCACGTATGCCGGACGGGTCGACCTAGTGTTTTCGCTGCCGTTATAGGGATGGTGCAGCTCCCGAAAAGGCGTAGCTTTGTCGGTGAGGTTAGGCTTCTGTTTGGCATGCTCTGTATGTCGTTACATTCGGCTAGATTGGCTGTCTGTTACGTAAAAAGCAGTAAATAAATGTCCACGTGTTCATTCTACGAATATTTACATTGTATTCATTTGTTCTGAGGGCGCCTCCTCCTTAAACCACATATTGTGCAACCATAGCTTGGTGAGCAGGAGATGTCTTCAGCACAATAAATATTCGCCTTCGTGCACCACCGATGGCGACGTTACGAGTGACGCTCCGGTGACACAATTCAAAGGTTTAGTTTTCGTCGCTTCTTAGGAGCTGGCTATAACGTTTTCATTACAGTTCGTTCACGGATAACGAGACTCCTCGATTGCTAACTGTGTTTTTTCCTGGTGCTAGTTTCACAGGAGGCTGCCAGTATTACAGAAGGTCAAAGAAACATTTCAATTTGCTCCACCACTTCAATACCCAAAGACATTGAAGTCAAGATGATGCCCCCGACTTGGTAGTGTAATTCATTGGGCTAGGTGGTGTTGAAATATCTTACATAACAGCGCGTACATCTCGCCAAGAAAAACAGCGAGAGGCCATGCCTCTTCGGTAGCAAAGAGCCATAAATTTCAGGGCTTATTTGAAAAACTTAGCGTTGTATAAGCAACTCTTGAGTTAGGTGAAAATTCACATTTCACTCAGAGCTGACGTTATATAGGATTAATTGAGTAGAAGCAGTTTGCTGACAAAGTGAAATTCGTATACGTTCACCGGGGTTATTCACCCGTTCACTATTATTATTAACCCGTTCGGGGTATTCACCCATACGTACGTTCACCGGGGTTCGATATTCATACAAAGTGCAGTATAGCAATGAGAAAATGCAAACATAACACACTTTGGCTAACATCTTGGAGACGTATGTGGTCGAAAATGTGTATTAATATTGCTGAGTTTCAAACACCTTACATAAGCTCCTTTACTTGACTTGTAGCAAAATCGGTATAAAAAAAAAGGTGCGGTACTTGTAAAATATTTTTTTTTCACATCAACACTCAAACAACAGTCTGCAAAGTTTGAAAGGCAACCACGTGAGCAAAAACTTTTTTCTATCCGAAATATTCAAGCAGTTCACTGTTTTCAGTGCTTTAAATCAGCACGATTTTTTTTTTCAAACACATTTGCCATAGCCACAAAATTGGCTGGGAAATGTAGAATAAAGTGACGCTGTTACCTTCACTCAATGACCATTGCATACTGCTAAATTAGGGCCATTTGTTTCAATCAAGCTGTCGGGGTGAGAAAGCACAACTCCTTCCCGGTGCAGCGTACGCTGTTCAGTGGCTGTGCGTGTTGTGTTCTCAGATAGATATGCTACCCAGTCTTACATTTTGGCTGCAACACATGCTTAGATACCGTGCAGTACGTATAACATTAAAGTGTTTTTGTGCAACAAAAAACTAATAGTAAGCTTCACATAGCAAAAATACCTTTAACATCTGAAGTACTTAGCGAAGTTAAACGCCAAAGCGAGGCGATCGCAACAAAACTCTGAATAACAAGAATATTTTGAAAGTTACACATGATGGAAACAATCTGAATAAAATGTGCTCGAACGTTAGCAGTTATG